GTAATTATAGAGAGAAAAAAATTGCCTTTCAGGAGAAACTAATGCACACTTATGGATATTAGATTCCAGTGCTCTTAACTGTCTGAGGTTTCGTTTTCTTATTTTTTTTTAAACATTTATTATTAAGAGACAGAGAGCACGGGCCACGGGGGGGGGGGGGGCCAGAGAGAGAGGCAGACACAGAATCCAAAGCAGGCTCCAGGCTCCAAGCTGTCAGCACAGAGCCCAATGCAGGGCTCGAACTCCCAAACCACGAGATCATGACCTGAGCCGAAGTCGGACGCTCAACCGACTGAGCCACCCAGGCGCCCCTGAGGTTTCGTTTTCTACCTGTAAATTGGACTGGATACTGAATTCTTCTAGTTTCCTCTAATATTTGGCTACAACTTTCTAAACCAACATTTCCAATTTTCCCCTACTTCTGACTTGGAATCATTAAGAACGAAAACTGCCCTCTTGCTAAAGCCATGCAGACTGAAGTGGGAGAACTTGATATAAACTTCAGAGAAATCACCACACCAACTCTTGTTCGGAAGGTCCTCATGCCTAGTGCTGTGTGGGCCACTCAGAGAGATCGCCAGAGATATTCAAACTGCAACCCAAGATATTCTATCAGGATGTAACCGTCTGTCCTCACTCCATCTGAAGATGCTTTAAGCCTGATACCTGGAAATCCTGTCTGGCTGCTTTCAGAACTCAGAAATTGGGATTACAACCTCCCAATTATTAACTTTTGCTTTTTGTTCCATACCACTGCCTCTTATTAAAAGCCCGATGCAAGTACTTGTATCATTTAGGCCTATTTTTGGGAGCCTCCTGAAACAAAACAAAACACAACCTTTCACCGAACTGACCTATTCTGAGGACTAAGAGACTAGTTGAGATATGGAACAGTCTACCAACTCAGGACCGATTCAAACCCACCTATACTAGATGGCCCATGATGCTAAAATATTTCACAGTACTCCCCAAATCCTAGGGCCCCCAAGGTCACTGACTTTACTTCATTGTGGGACCCTTCAAGTTTGGGACAGTAGCTACTGAGGGGATTTCAGACTATTGTGTCATTAGGATTTGCTACTATGGTCCTACTTAGATATGTACTTTCCGAGTTACCATATGCCCTACCCCTGACTTTAAGCTTATCAACTTCCCAAGCATTACAGGGTAGGCTAAGACCAGCACAAAACATGGATATTTAGCCTTTAATTTTACAGATGCCTAAATATACAAAGAACATAAATTTTTTTTACAAATATAATACCAATGTCAATTTGCAGTGGATTTCAGAATGTGTATGCTTTTGAGAGAAACAAACCTTTAGTTCCAATAACTTCTCCACAACAATCTGCCTTTCTGTGGTCTTCAATCTTTGCCCCCAAGACTGCTATTTCAAGGACTCCCATTTCAAAGATATAGGAGACAGAGTCGGGCCGGGGGGAGCAGGATACATGGAAACTCTTCCGTAGGTTCTCTTGGAGAAGGTTCTGTGGAAGAATCTGAGTACATGTGTGTGTACATACAGCTGGAGGTCACCCTTGAAGATGACCCGTGAAGAGATGGGTGGCAGTCACCGTGAAGGAAGCCTCAAGTGTTACACCAGTCTTTTTTTTTTATTAAAAAAAAAATTTTTTTTTCAACGTTTATTTATTTTTGGGACAGAGAGAGAGCATGAACGGGGGAGGGGCAGAGAGAGAGGGAGACACAGAATCGGAAACAGGCTCCAGGCTCTGAGCCATCAGCCCAGAGCCTGACGCGGGGCTCGAACTCACAGACCGCGAGATCGTGACCTGGCTGAAGTCGGACGCTTAACCGACTGCGCCACCCAGGCGCCCCAGTCTTTTTTGTTTGTTTGTTTTAAAGTAAACTCGATACCCAGTGTGGTGCTTGAACTCCTGACCTGGAGATCAAGAGTCACACGCTCTACTGACTGAGTCAGCAAGGTGCCCCTGCACCAAGCTTTGCAATACTTCTGAATTTCTTATGCCCGTACAGTCCTATTGCTCAAATTCATCAACACATTAAAAATGTTTACTGAATCGGCGAAATTGCTTCTCCAGCTCTGGGTATAACGGCAGGTTAGGGAGGCCTGAGTGTGATGTTTCTAGCTACACAATCAGCATGGTAGGGACAAGGCAGATGAATCTGGGTTCAGTCCTGGCCAGTCACTTATTCTTCGTGTGAGCCTCAGGAAGTTTTGCAAATTGTGTCTCCATTTTCTCATACGTACAATAGAGATGAAAACAGTATCCAACTCCCAGTATCATTGTGCAGATCAAATGCCCTATCTTATGTAATATGCACATGGCGTGTACTAAATGCACAATAAGGATTTCCTCCTTTCACCTTCCCAGCCCCTCAGCCCTCCAGCAATATTTACAGATGATGAAGAAGGGGGCAGAATTTTCAGTGTTAGTCACACACCAAATCACACTGTGGTAGTCAAAATAAAAGTGAGCCCAGACTATAAGCAAATGAATGAGCCATGTGCTCTGAACACAGAATTAAAATAAGGACTGCGTGTGCAGAAAATGTGATCTGAAAATATGCAACATATAATCAACAACATCCTTTCCTAGTTTCTCTCGCGCCGCCCCCTCCTCCCCACCACCGGCCCCCCTAGGTAGTAGGATCAAGAGAGTGAACAAAGGTAGCAACTTAGGGCAGGAGTTGGGCCTTCTGTTCCCTGATATAGCCCAAGTAGGTAAGCCAGGACCCTCATATGGATTAATGATGCTTCATAAATATTTGATAAATGGAAGGGAGAAAGAAAGCGAGAATAAAGTAAAATACAATGGGAAAAAAAAAAACAGGAACATTCTAGGACTGAATACTCTGTTTTCCCCAGAGTTCAGGGACAAAAATAATGATTTCTAACAAGCCACAGAAAAAGTCTTAAATTTTCTACTAGAAAAAAGGTGGTTGATCTTAGTCACTTTCTTCAAATACATACAAAAGACATCTGTAAACGGTTTCTGCACCCCCGGTGTAACCAGAGGTGACAGATCAAGCCACAAGTGGCCTTGCTGAAACCGATCTCTCTTCAGGTAGGAGGACTCTCTTGCTCTCCCGACCCAGCCTGGACTTAAATATAAGGTGTAATGTTTGACGCCGAAGACAAAGTAGTTCATCTGCACGCTAAACCTAGGTGCTCAGGTGAAATGGTTTGTTAGTGCTCAATGTTTGCTCTGCCGATTGGTGAAACGATCTTCAGTTTTCCCTTGAACCACATGAATTTGAACCGCGTGGGTCCACTCATACACAGACAGGTCCGTCTGTACGCGGCTTGTTTTGAATAAATACGTTGGAATCCTTGGGTGAGATCTGTGACAAATTGAAACCTTTGCCGATGAACGGCATGGCTTAGAAATATCGAAAAAGACCGGGAAAAGGTATTCACGAATGTGTAAAATATATGTAGACATTCGTCCAGTTTATTTAGTCGCTATCATGGAATACAAACAAACCTATTGTAAGATGTTAGAATTTATCAACACTTGTGCACACAAACACACGCTGTACATGGTACCATTTGCAGTCAAGAGAAATAAACAAATGGATAAGTACAGTAGTAAATAACTGCTAAAATTAACCATGGTCCAAACTACACCACCGCAGGGATTTTCCAGCCGCTCCCAGTTGCTTTTGTGAGCTCAGTGTTGGGAGTGTCTGCTTAAAACTCCCCACGACGCTAATCATGTCCACATGAGCAGCTGGTCTGGCCAGTCAACTAAGTAGCACAGTAAAAAGTCATCTCTCCTGGTTCTCACCTATTCTTCAAAAACCTTGAATAACACCGCAGGACCCATATGACATGCCACTAACGATGCTAGAAATGCTCCCGAGGAGCCCAGAAACATCCTGACCTTACAAGAAAAACTCGAGGGGCTCGGTAAGTACCCTAGATTGAGGACTGCAGCTGTGTGGTTGCCAACCAGTTCAAGATAAACGAGTCCAGCGTGAGGACCGTTTTAAGAAAAGGAAATTCATGGGGCACCCGGGTGGCTCAGTCGGTTGGGAGGCCGACTCTCGATTTCGGCTCCAGTTGTGATCTCATGGTCCGTGAGATTGAACCCTGCGTCTGGTTCTGTGCTGACAGCAGGGAGCCTGCTTGGGATTCTCTCTTCTCCCTCTCTCTCTCTGCCCCTCCCCTGCTAGCTCTCTCTTTTTCTCTCAAAATAAAGTAACCTTAAAAAAAAAAAAAAGGAAATTCACGAAGCTTTTGTAGTTACAGCAGCGGAGTGAAAACCTTGCACTTTTTGTGAAATACCTTTTTTGATTTGAAAATGCAGCTTTTATGGGGATGCAGGATTGCTACAGGAAAGGCATACCTATAGGTTCCAGCGTGATTTGAGGAAAAGGGAAGTTATTACACGACAACGTAAAGCAAAAGGAAAGCGAAGGATCTAAGGCTGGAGAATTTAATGCCAGCAATGGATGGTTTGATAATTTTAGAGAGGGATTTGGCTTAAAAAAATGTCAAGACAACAGGAAAAGCAGATTCTGCCAACCAAGAGGCAGCAGATGAATTCCCAGGTGCCATGAAGAAAATCATTAAGAAAGGATATCCATTTAAACAGGTCTTCGAGGCAGACAAAAGTACTCTATTCTAAAAGAAAATTGCCACAAAAACCATTTATTAGTAAAGAAAAGCCGTAAGCACCAGTTTTAGGGCAACAAGGGATAGGCAAACTGCACTGTTTTGTGCAAATGCAGTGGGTTTATGATCAGTACTGCCTTTATCTACAAAGCTGCTGACTTTCCAGCCTTGAAGGGAAAAGATAAACGCCAGCTGCCAGAGTTGTGATTGTAGGGCAAGGAGGCCTGGACGATGAGAACCCTTTTTCTGAATTGGTTCCACCAATGTTTCTTTCTGAAGCCAGGAAGTAACTTGCCAGTAAGAAACCACCTCTTAAAGGTCTTGTGATCTTGGACAATGCACTTGCGCCCCACCCCCGCCCCCCGCCCCTCCACTGAGCCCCATGAATTCAACACTGAAGATGTCAAAGTGATCTACCTGCCCACAAACACAATGTCTCCAATTTGGCCTCTTGATCAGTCTTAAGGACCTTTAAGGCTCATTACACACAGTACTACATGGAAAGGATTGTCCGTGTTCTAGAAGAGAATCCAAACCAGACATCAGAAAAGTCTGGAAGGATTACACCGTTGAAGATGCCACCGTTGTTTCAGAAGAGGCCATGGAAACCATCTAGCCTGAAGCAGTGAATTCCTGCTGGGGAAAACTGTGTCTAGAGGTTGCACATGACTTCACAGGATTTATGATAGAGATTATGACATAGAAATCGAAGAAATCATGAAATAGATTGTGGACATGGCAAGAAGGCCAGGAGGTAAAGGGCTTCTTGGAGAAATTCCAGAATTAACAGGCACCACACCAGATGAATTAAGAGTTGTCCTGACGGACATGAGTTGTCTTCATGAACAAATTGACGTTAGATAATCTGGCAGAAGAATCCTGATTATTCAAGACTGCTTTTGACTTCCTTTACAACATGGACTCTTCTAGGATATGGGTGCTGAAACTAAAGTACGTAGAGGAAGAAAGATTGGCATTGTACAGAAAGCTTTCTAGAGAAATGAAAAAGCAAAAAAAGGTCAAATTATGAAATATGTATTTCTGTAAAGTTGCACCCACCTCTTCTGCCTTCCTTTTTACCTTCTGCACCTCTTCCACCCCCATCACCTCTCGTCCTCCTCAGTCTACCCAACAGGAAGATGATGACAATAAAGACCTTTAGGATGATCCACTTCCATTTAGTGAAGAGTAAGGAATCATTATGCTGCACCGTTAATAAACATCCGTTGTGTCTTCATGTGAAAATATAATAACTGTATGGCAAGAACTATGCGAAACATTTTATGTCCTCCTCCTCATCACTGCTTAAGTATTCATCACGTAGAATATCACGAACCAGATTTGTATGGAAGTGGATAGCCTATCCTCTCACAGGCATAGGGTCAGTGATATTTAACATAAAATTAATAATGTGTTAGTTTTCTTACTGTTTTATAACTTTGCTTTCAAAGAATTACTACACAATATCTCTGACTGCCATCTTTCTCTCCCTCTCTCCATACCCTGCCTTCTCCCCCTGCCCCCCACCTATAACTGGAGAAACTATGTATCAGCCTGTCATCACAGGTAAGTGGTTTTTTTTTTTTTTTTAATTTTCTTTTTTTTTGAACGTTTATTTATTTTTGGGACAGAGAGAGACAGAGCATGAACGGGGGAGGGGCAGAGAGAGAGGGAGACACAGAATCGGAAACAGGCTCCAGGCTCTGAGCCATCAGCCCAGAGCCTGACGCGGGGCTCGAACTCACGGACCGAGAGATCGTGACCTGGCTGAAGTTGGACGCTTAACCGACTGCGCCACCCAGGCACCCCAAGTGTTTTTTTTTTAATGTAACAATATTTTCAATACTGTACTATGAATATGACTGTAATCCTGTATACCATAAGATTTTATAAGAGTTCGTTCACTAGGGTATAGACTGAGCTACCATGAAGCAACTGTATCCATTACAATAGGCTCCATTAAGCACTCATCTTGCTGCTTCTTCATTATCAATGAATGCATCATTATACCTATAAATAAAAATGAATTTCTCATTCACCTTACCTTTCACTTTCGATGTCTAGTGTTAGTAATACAGAGCTACAGTGTGTTGTATAATATAAGGCAATATTGATTAGGTACTGACAGATATTTGTCTTCTAAACAGAGGATGCAAACTTATGGTATCAGTAAATACAGGACAGATATATATATATATATACACACACACACACACACAGACACACACACACACACAGGACAGATATATATATTATATATAATATATATAATATATATAATATATATAATATATATATCTCATGATTTTCTTTTCTCTAGTTTATTATAAATAGAATATATAATACATATATAACAATATGTGTTAATAGACTGTTTCGGTTATTGGTAAGTCTTCTAGTAAGCAGGGGGCTGCTAAGTTTTTTGGGAGTCAACAGTTATATGCACATTTTCCACGGTGCAGGGGTTTGGTGCTCTTAACCCCCACACTGTTCAAGGCTCAACTGTACAACTAAATCTACTCACAACACAATGTGCTATACCAGAAAGTGGGGTCAATAGAAGAGTCCACTGAAGATATTCTGCTGGACCAGTTAATGATTGCTTTACACACACACACACACAGTCACAAGGTAGCACTGAAGATCAGCGTTAGCACCCTCTTCAAGTATAATCTGGATACTGGTGGATAGACTTGCATGGCACCAGTTAGACTGCTCAGTTTTGGCAGTAAAGTCATAGTCATTTTGTTGTTGCTGTTTTTTGATGGCTAGCATCTGATAAGCGGTAGAAATCTGGTAACCAGAAACAGTGATGCTCTGGATACTAACAGAGATGATGGAAACAACAGGATGAACTGTGAAGGACGGTTGACAGGTGATACTTTACGGTGTTTTTTTTTTACCTTAAGTTGGGTTCCCTGGAGACAGACTCTGAGATGGGGATTTGAGAGCAGGAAGGTCCATGGGGGTGAGGGTGGTAACTGGGGAAAACTACCACTAAAGTAGCGAGGGAAGAAGGACTGGGTGAGGGAAAGTGCTGAACTTGAGAGCTGGGATGGCCCTTCAGAATTATCCCAAATTAAGGAAAGGGGGCTGGGCCCTTGTGTCCCCCTCACTGACTAGTCATTGCACGTGGACTGCCCTGGAGAGGAAGCATAGCCCTGTGTGTGACAGCTCCTTTCAACTGAAGGCAGTTCCCCAGAAGGGACGTGTCTGAGAGGCATCGGTGCCAACACTCCCAGCAGGGGGTGGAATAAATACCTAAAGGGGTATCTGGACGGCCCATCACAGCATCCATTAAAACTGGCAAGTTTAGGGGCGCCTGGGTGGCTCAGTCAGTTAAGCGTCCGACTTCAGCTCGGGTCACTATCTCACAGTCCGTGAGTTCGAGCCCCGCGTCGGGCTCTGGGCCGATGGCTCAGAGCCTGGAGCCTGCTTCCGATTCTGTGTCTCCCCCTCTCTCTCTGCCTCTCCCCCGTTCATGCTCTGTCTCTCTCTGTCTCAAAAATAAATAAATGTTAAAAAAAAATTAAAAAAAAAAACTGGCAAGTTTAAACAACAATATATTTAAGGGACAGTAACTGGCATATAATCTGTACATAAAGGACATCCAATAAATATTTGTTGAATGAAGAGTGGCTATTATGAAGGAAGAATGATAAGCGAAGGGCTTAAACTTCATCAGAAGGGATTTAAATGAGGCTGTAGGAAAATACAGAATTATAACAGACCATGGAGAAAGCAGAAAACTTCAGCTCTCCTATCTGTATTGTGACTTGGTCATTGGATTAAATCGTTACAATGACTCAGATTCTGAATTATTCAGCCTTGGGGGAAAAGTAGAAGGTAAAGTTCCAAAAGGGGCTCTGATTTGGGGAATCGAGGTTCAAGTGAGCCCCCCTACCCCCACTGTAAAATAGCCACTATTGCACTACATGAGTTTGAGAGGAAATTTCACATCTTTAAGAGTCTTTTGTGAAGCAGGAGAGTGAAGTGAAAAGCATCATTGATTGAATCTTTCCAAAATTAATGACTCTTTCCACTTGGAGCCCTTTCAACTAACATAATCATGATCTAAGGTTCTTTCTCAAGGTCATTTCTGAGCACATTCTGAGCGTCAGGACCCGCTCACCTTGCCGCTAGCAATTTAATCACAAAGACATTTCCCCAACATTACGCATTCCTGCATTAGATGATGCCCCTTACTTTCCTCAACATCCACATTAAAAAAAAAAAAGGTATATAATTAGATGCTTGCACTGAATGAGTTTTACCCATGACTTACACGGTAATTTCAAAGATGCTTCCCTTCTTTTCTCAGTGGTCTTCAAACGAATGGAGATTCTAACAATCCCCAAGTCTGTCTGTTGCTCAAGATCTATCCAGTTAAAGACTAAAAAATAATCTATTAAGTATCTTTAAGCTATCATGACATGAACAAAAATGCATAAATTCAATGTGCTAACTATAAATTTTTACTGTGACTCACCAATCTGTTCCTATAAAGATTAAATCATTTTTATGCAGATCCCAAAAGCTCCTGTCATTTTCATGTATTTTAAAAAGAATCCCAATATTTCAAATAAACTATTTTTTAAAAACTTAAAAATATAAAGTGTGTTTAGAATTCATTTGTTTAATGTAAAAGAGGAAGTCTTTTCTTCAAATACAAAATAATGTCAATCTTATTATGCAAAATGTATATTTTCTAGACATGCCTGTTTAACTCTTTCATTCAAAGTATTTGGGGAAGAATATTCTTTTCTGTCTGTGACCACAAATGTAACTTTTTGGCCACCTCAGAAATTGGTTTATTTCTAGTTTAAAGGACAGTCAGATCCTCTTCCTGGCATCTTAATCTATAGAAGTGTAATTAAACAAGATGCTTCTATCTTGCAGGACTGACCCATTAGCCTGGATCATTGGCTTTGCCTGTGCAGGACATCTAGGACAGGAGACATACGGGTGCACACCTATACACCCACCACATACACATGCATCTCCCCTGAAGCCTGAAATTCGACCCACAATAAATCATATACCCCTTGTTGTAAGATTCGCACTTCTCATGGTCTTCTGTTAAAATATTCCTCAACAGGGTACCATTAAAGTGATGGGGTTGGCAGAGGCACAGTAATTTGTGTGTTTTCTGCGTGAAAGGGAAGAGGTGCAAAATGTTGCCAAGATAGAGGTCTGATGCATGAATCAGCACTGAAAGAAATTGAGAATCATCCAAAATAATGCAAAAATAATAATGGACTATTTACCATTATTTACATTTTTAAAGTTTATTTACTTATTTTAAGAGAGTGAGCAAGCAGGAGAGGGACAGAAAGAGGGGAAGAGAGAGAAACCCAAGCAGGCTCCACACTTAACGCTGAGCCCAGTGCAGGACTCAATCTCACAACCTTGAGATTGTGACCTGAGCTGAAATTAAGAGTCAGACGCCCAACCATCTGAGCCACCCAGGTGCCCCGACATTATTATTTACTGACAGGAACTAACAAGGCACACAATACTATGTTCTTAAAGCTAGGGATAAAAGATAATGGTAGATATGGCAATGCGACTTCATTTAATGATTTTGTAGATTTGTTTTCCTTTTCTAATATTGTTAGTAACCTGGCTATTTTCAAGTGTGAGAATGACAAAGTCTTTTTTTTTTTTTTTAATTTTTTTTTTCAACGTTTATTTATTTTTGGGACAGAGAGAGACAGAGCATGAATGGGGGAGGGGCAGAGAGAGAGGGAGACACAGAATCCGAAACAGGCTCCAGGCTCTGAGCCATCAGCCCAGAGCCCGACGCGGGGCTCGAACTCACGGAACGCGAGATCGTGACCTGGCTGAAGTCGGACGCTTAACCGACTGCGCCACCCAGGCGCCCCGTGAATGACAAAGTCTTAATACAGGTCCATTCCTTCTTTTGCAGCATTAATGAAGTCATTGCGTGGCTAAACCTTGTTTCGAAGACAGCTTCAGTCTCAAGGAAGAAAATAACCTGGACTCCTATTCTGAAAGACTTGACCTGTAATATAAATCAGGGCACAAACAACAGCACTGTCCAGTTGCAATGACTATCATGATGAGCCCCTGACCTTCAGCACTGAGTGCAATTGATCTAGCTATTACTGTTTACTTAATGGAAAAATCTCTCTCCTGCTTTCAGATTTGTCCCAAGGCTTAGCCACAAGAGTAAGATTTCTTTTTAAAATGTGAGTTCATTCATTCTACAGACGTGAGTATCTGTAAAGCGCCAGGTCCTGTGCTGGGGCAGGGGACCCTCGAATGAATTAGGTACAGTTTCCACCCTCACCTGCCGTGACCATAGCAAGTTTTTATTGCCTTTGCTCTCCCCAAGTGAGAATGGACAACCCTCGAAACTACTGCAAATTCACCGTGTGTGAGATTCAAGCCCAGCTTTCACAAAGCCTCTCAAATTCAGCTGGTGTTCTTATGGTGGTGTTTCATACATTCTTAATTTTGTTTTTCTCGACTTTTCAAGTTTTAACTTTTTTAAAAATATGGACCTCAGATAACCAAGTTTAAGATGATCGTAGACTTGAGTTTATGATATTTTATTATCATCAATCCACAGAACACCCTCTTATAGAATACCCTGCAGTTTAACTTTTTTCCTCTATGATCTTTGGTCACTAATTCCACACCTCCCTCCCCCTGAGACAGCTTCTAGAATATATTTAAAGTGTGTTCTTTTATTCTACTTTTATACACACACACACACACACACACAGAAGCTTTGAACAATTTGCGCATGGAGCATGTTTAATTTACGTAAATGATACTGTGGTATAAATATCTTTCTAACTTTTTCTATTCAACATTTTTTTTAAAGATCTATCCATGTTACTGAATATACATCTAAGTTACTGTTTTTTATACTCCATAACATACCATCCTATGCGTGCATTGGTAAGTTTACCAATGGCATTGGCTGTCATGAGCATCCATACACTTTTTCCTTGAGCGCTTGAGTGACTTTCTGAAGAAATATCCAATAGTACAATTGCTAGCATGTGTATAATTGTTAGATATGTACATAGTTAATTTCAATAAATTCAGTGAAATTATTTTCCCAAATAGCTGCTTGAAGGTCTCCATTTTTCTACATCTTCACCAGCATTTGATATTGCATGACTTTTTAGTTTTTGTCTTATGATTATAGATTGGCATTTTATTGATGCCTTAATTAGTATTTTCTTTTTTAAAGAATAAATTTTAAAATTTTATTTTTGAGAGAGAGAGGGAGACTCCAGGCTCCAGGCTCTGAGTGCTCAGCACAGAGCCTGACTTGTGGCTTGAACTCATGAACTGCAAGATCATGACCTGAGCCAAAGTTGGATGTTTAACCGACTGAGCCACCCAGGCGCCCCTTCATTAGTATTTTCTGGATTTTTATGCTGTTTGAGCATCTCTTAATAATTATTACCCATTTAGGGTTTTCTTACTGTGAATTGCCTATTCCAAGATGTTACCTATTTTGTATTGTTTTTTTCTCACTTTGTAGGAGGAGGGCTGACTTAACTAATCCTACCAAGAATATTATCCAGTTTATCCTTTTAAAAATGTGTTACATAGAATATTTTTTCTTTAAGCCTTTAACACTAGGAAAGCTATTCAATTCTCATAGTCAACTTTTTTTTTTGCTATGGCTTTCAGCCATTGAACATGTAATCACAGCTATATTTACCCTTTTAGTGAGTGTACTTGCATTCTTGTATTTTCTCTGAACCCAATTTACTTCAGTGTTATCACCTTTTTTATGTTTCTTGTCATAACCTAACTCAAAAAGATGTTTTGAAGGAGTCAGGCATAATTGAATCAATACATTTATTTTTTCAAAACGTACTGGTTTAATGCTTCTCCTTATTATGACAGAAGG